ATTAAACCCTTTTTCGCAGTTTTGTTATTTTATTATATATTTTTGGACAATTTTTTTATTGAACAAAAATTATTTAAATTAATTTATCATAAATAGTTAAATTTCTATTTTGCTATAAAAGCATCAAATAAATAATATTAATATTAATTATTTCTTAATAAAAGATAATAAAGTTTTATTTGATATTATTATAAACACGAGAGCATTTTTAATGCAATTTTAAATTACGATTTTTTGAGTTAAGATATTATAATCTGAAGAACGATGATTTCTATGCAAAGATGTTTATCAATGATTAAATAATGGTTTAGAAAATATTTTAATTAAGACTTCAAGAAGCAAAATTAATTTCATTTTTATAATAAATCGATGATATTTTGCCAACTAATTGTCTAAGTTAAGCGAATCTTATCACAGATTTCTATAACTAGCTGCTCACTTTGATTATTTTGTATATGATAGTAAGAGATAAATATGTTTTCAAGCTGTCCTTGTCAATACCTATGCATATACATATGTGCATGCTGTGGTGTGTACGTGCATGCGTGTGTGCGTGTGTGCATGCATAAATAGGTACCCAAGAAATAAGAGCCTCTATCGGAATACTGCTTAACATGGCAATGAAGTAAGCAGTCTAGTTATAGAAACTTGTTGTCTTATATTCTTATTTATAGATACACTAGATTTTTAGTTTTCAAACGAGATCAAGATTGTTTTAATGCAATTTTTCGCAAAATTATTTGCAAAAATTTTGGCTTATAGGATCTTATAATTTGACATAGCCGGCCAACGCGCGCATTTCTATGGACGTAAATACGATGATAATCGTATTTCAAAGTGTATATTGTACATGCGTTTTTCTTTATAGTCTGTCACCTGAGACATGAACTTACAAAAAATATAGCGCAGAATTCTTTCATACATGGTGCACCTGATTTTTAAAACCTGATATTAAAACTCTAATTTTACGAAAGATTGATAATAACAACAAAAGCACCACTTGAAGCTAAAATGCTTTGAAGCATTCTTTGATTGGTCAATTAGTGACATTCTTTCTTCTGGTTTGTCAATCAAATGCTTTGAAGAATTTGTAGAACTAATGCCCGTTTCTATTAATGTAGATTAAGTTTATAATCTTGATCTAACTTACTTTTCATCTTTTTCTAATTCTTTGAACTAAAAAAAAGATGAAGAGTTAGTTGAACCCAGATTATAAAACTAATTAAATTGCATTGATAGAAACGGGCGTAAATGGACCGCACATCCAAAAACTGATTTCCTATGCTGTTTCACATTCTGCAAATAACCTGCATTGAATATATAAGTGCACTCTTACACACTTGACAATTATATACGTATATAATAAAATAAGTAATAAAATACTAAAATGTAAAATCGCCAATAGAAATATTAAAAAATAATAATCAATCTTTAGATATTATATACTATTAAGATATTACGTAATTGATATAGATTTTGCATACAATTAAGACATAAAGATAATTTACAATTAAGAATTTATGAAGCCATAAAAAATAATAATACATAATATAATTAATCGATCGCGAAATTTTACGGAGGAAAGATCAGTTACGATATTTTCTGCATATTTTTCTTTGACTCTAAGTTTAAACTTTCTATTCTTGTCGCAATATCCTCCGTCGATTTTATGCCATTTTTAACCGATTCTTTATTAAATTTTGTTCGCAAAATTTCTGTCGTCTGACTGCATATTTCATTCCATGAAATAGCAATGTCTTCTTCTCGACATAATCGGCTACAAACGGCAAATCTAGCAACAAGTTTATGATGATACGTGCCGGCAATGAGATAAATTTTTTTCCTAGCCTGCAGACGATCTAAGAGTTCCTTTGTTAAACTGTTATCACCCTGAAAAGAGAAATAATTTTAGAAGTATAGAAATATTCGAAATAACGTGAATATAATTAAATTGAATATAATATAATTGAATTATAATTAAAGGTGTAACACTAATAAAAAAGATATTCGAATATTACATAAAAATTTAAACAATAAATTAAACACACATAATTAATTAATTATTCGAGTTAAATAGAAATAAATTTGTTTAATTAAGATATAAATTTATAAGTATAAAAAAAATAAAAAGAAATTATATATTATTAAAGCTAATTTTTAATTTGTAAACTTGCAAAAAGAACTTGCAGAAAAAACATATGTACCTTGATACGAAAACAGACAAGACCTAAAATGACTTCATTGGTTATTTCAAATCTATCGTCCGATCTGACATATGTTTCGAAAAGATGCGCTAGTTTTATGTGATTTCTAATATACTCCTGAAGACCTTCTACTCCATAAATGCGCATGACAAACCACAATTTTAAGGAACGAAAACGTCGGCCCAACGGTATCTGCCAATTCTGTATATAAAAAATTTAAGAAAAATTAAGAACATTTTTCAGTTACATCTAATAATACATCTAATAATACTTTAATATTTTTAATTCCATTTTTAATTTATTAGAAAATATATTAAGAAAAGAATATTATGTTAGTAAAAAAATGTATAAAGTCTTACTCTGTAATCTGGTACCAATCCTTCTTGATAGTCTGATAGATATATTCTGTTAACACTGAATGTTTCTACAAGACGTCTCGAGTCTTTTACCCTAAAAGTAAGAACAAATATAGTTTATATAAATATAAACTTATTCTATAAAATATTACCGTAATTTCTATTTATAAATTTTTATTATACGTAAGTAAACTTATTTTTATTTAATACGACAGCTTGTTTAAATTTTATTTTTTTACATTTTTATAATTTTTATAATTTAAATTAAATATTTTATAAATTATCTAAAAATTCTATATCGATTATGTAAATTTTTTTATTAAGGAGTATACAAAGACATTTAAAAGTTGAACAAAATTAGTATTTGTTTATTTATTATATGAGAAAAATATGGTAAGAAAAAAAACACATTAGAACAAATTTACTTAAATAATTTGATTAAATTATTTACTTATTGTTAGTAATATACATACCACATTACCGAACAATCAAAATTTGTAAGCAACCATTTATGAACATTTATATTAAAAGAATCCACATACTCAATGCCGGACATCAAATATCTAAACTCCGGACAAATAAATGCAGCCCCTAAATTAATACTATTAATTAAATTAATGAAATAAATTTAATTAAATTAATAAAATAAATTTAATTAAATTAATAAAATAAATTTTGTTATTATGTTATATAAATATGAACAACACGCACTTCAAACTTAGCTAATTAATTAAATAGCACGAGTTCAATATTTCTTATTAACTTTAACGATTGATGTAATATGACAAATGTAATATGACAAATGTATAAGACAAAAAGACAAAGTTAATGAAAAATATAATAGCTAATAAAAAAAAGAGATAAATGACTATCTACCCGCGTAAGCTGCATCAATGTGCAACCACATATCATATTCTTTGCATATTGGTCCTATCTCATTCATATTGTCGAAGGCACAGGTGCTAGTAGTTCCTAAAGTAGCGACCACATAACACGGTATAAGGCCTTTCTCCATATCTTCCTGCATCGCTTTCTTTAAAGTTTCTCCGCGTAGAGAGCACTTATCATCCACTGGTAGCAACCTCATTGGCATTGATCCTAGAATTCCTGCCTTCTCCACTGAAGAATTAGATTGGTCTAAATGTGTAAAAAAAAACATATTTATATAAATATTCGACATAGGACTGATAGAAACATAATCTGTACACTTAATCTATAAAAACTAATAATATTATAGTAGGACATAAATTAATACATATAATACAAATTTATATTAGACTTATAATATTATATTATGTAATACGTACATTTTTGTATCTCAAAATTCTTTATTTTTAAAAATACTTACTAGAAGTATATGCGACTAGTTTAGCTCTGATGCGATCCTCATCTAGTTCTGGATGAAGTTGTTTCACTCGACGCACTGTGCGTTCTTTCGCAGCAAGTAAACATATGAATGTACATTCACTGGCAGATCCCTGAAATTAATGTGACGAATTAAAACATGGTTAAATTTTTGAATATTAACATACAATATTAAATATATTGAAACATGTAGTAATTTATAATAATAGTATGCTGATAAGATTAAGATATATAAAGTAGGATTAAATAGAAAATACGTGTATAAATAAAATTTAATTAAAATATATGTGTATATAATAATTTCTTGGTTGAGGTTACATAACATATAAGAAATATAATGTTAAAATGTTACAAATTTTATTTAAAATTATGATTTTTGAAATATAATTTATTGATAGATAGATAGGTACTTTATCGATTTCTCAAAAGTATACAAGCAACTTGTATTTCACAGTAACATTTTTTATATTTATTAAAATATTGTGAATATTTATTTAAAAATAGATAGATTTTTATAAATAGATTTTCTTATAAAAATAGAAT